TTCTCAAGATGTGCTCTGTGTGCTAGAATACCATCAGAGCAGGAAGTCACTGTCTTCTCAAAACAGTAAATGCAGTCACCGGGACGGCTCGATGAGTAAGAGAATCTGCGGTGCAAAGAGGACCACAGTTCAATCCCCAGAACCTGACACAAATCTAGAGAGATCTGGGCAGAGGGTTTCCTAACTGAGAAAATGTCTCCATAAGATTGGCCTGTAGGCAAGTCTGTGGGGTATTGCCTTGATTACTGAGCAATATGGGAGGGTCCAGCTAACTGTGGGCAGTGCCAACCTTGAGCAAGGTGATCCTGGATGCTATAAGAAAGCAGACTGAGAAAGTTATGAGGAGCAAGCCAGTAAGCAGCATTCCTCTGTGGCCTCTGCATCAGCTCCTACCTCCAGTTTCCTGCCCTGACACACACATACACACACACACAAAATATGAAGATATTTAGAAAGAAAGTTGTTCTCTGGCCTCTGCATGTGCTGTGAACCCACATAAAATGAATAAGTAAGCCGGGCGGTGGTGGCGCATGCCTTTAATCCCAGCACTCCAGAGGCAGAGACAGGTGGATTTCTGAGTTCGAGGCCAGCCTGGTCTACAGAGTGAGCTCCAGGACAGCCAGGACTACACAGAGAAACCCTGTCTCGAAAAACAAAACAAAAAACAAACAAAAAAAAGAGTAAGTGAAAGTTTAAAAAAGTAAATGCTCTCTGTAAAGAACAGTTTGTGGGGCTGGAGAGATGGCTCAGTGGTTAGGAGCAGTGACTGCTCTTTCAGAGACTCGGGCTCTATTCCCAGCACCCTCATGGAGGCTCCCACCAACTTGCAACTCGAGTCCCAGGGGATCTAATGCTCTCTTTTAGTCACCTCAAGTACCAAGCATGCATACTGTGTACTGACATACGAATATTCATACATGCAGACAAAACACCCATACACATAAAATAAAATAAATAAACCACAGCTTTTAGCTGGCATCCAAGTGTCTCCATGGTCAAATGACAGTCTTGAAATCAGGGTAGTCTGTGCTGAGACCCCAGCAAAGCCTTATCCCTGACAGGCTTGGTAGATAGCTTAGGAGAAAGGTTACAGGCTGGTCTTAGCTAGACAGTGGAGTTGGGTGCCTTTAATTCCAGCCTGGAAAGGCAGAGGCAAGTGGATCTCTGTGCCCTTCCCAAGCCTTGAGCAGGCCTGAGAGACCTTGTTTACCACAACAGACCAAATAATAGGACCTAGGTGGAACTAGCCACCTTGGCTGCACGACAATAGACACCTAGGTGAAATCACCCACCTTGGCTGCATGTACAGCCTGCTACAGGAACTTCAAAGAAGAGCTGCCCCTGGGCTTGCCTTGAGACATCTGCGGCCATGACCTGTGACCAAGAATGGATTATCCCACCCAACTCTCCCGGCTGAAACTAGGAAGGGTTTGGGCGGGGTCTTTCCCTTTAAATTGAAAGCTGAACATTAAAGCTTTGATTAAAGCTGAACATTGAGCCTTGATCAGAGAACTTTGTCTTGGTTTCATCTCTTCTCGCCCTCCATCCTCCTTTCGTTCCCAGCCCTCTTTCCAGGTGAACCCGTTCGACTCGTGGCCACAGGCGGCTACAGATCTCTATGAGTTTGAGGCCAGACTGGTCTACAGGCAAATTCCAGGACAGCCAGGGATACACAGAGTTGTCCTTTGAAGACCTGAGATGGATCGCAGCATGGAATAAAGACAAAGACGAGCAGGAAGATGGCTCAGCCAGTAAAGATACTACTTCCAAGCTTGAAAACCTGAGTCCGACACGGTGGAAGAAGAAAGAAGACTCTAAAGCTTCGGTGGGGCATGCCTACAATCCCAGCACTTGGAGGTAGAGGCAGAAAGACCCAAAGTTCAAAATTATCCTTGGCTACACACAGTGTGTGTTGGGAGCCGACTCCTAGCCGAAAGCAGCTATCATCTTTGCAGCCATCTGAGGCCATATACCCTGACAAGAGACTTGTTTTCAACAGCCCACAACAGCTGAGCACAGTCTGATAAACATCTTGTTTTTCTCCCATACCTTGTTTTGTTGTTTAGTGCCCCCAGCTGCAAGGTGTACGTGGTATCCATGGCTACAAGGCACATGGCAAAGTGTCTTCAGCTGTGGTCCCCTGCTTGTCCACGAGGGCAAGGCACGTGGTAAAGCCTATAAATACCCAGGATTTCCTTTAACAGAGACTTGATCAGACCCTCTGTCTTGTCTCCATTCTTTGCATCTCTTGCCCCCCTCCATTCCCACTCTCTCTTGCTAGACCCTGACCTGCGGACTGGAGCAGCAGGACGGGCTGGGACAGAGTGGCCCCCAAACGTGGGGCATTGGAACAGGTCGGTACAAGTGTGTGTGTGTGGAAGTGGACTTACTACTCACCAGCTGAGCTTTCTCAGGTCAGTGATTCAACTCCTTGGAGCCTCCTTGTGTCCAATCTGTAAACTGAGCACACAGATAAATGTGAGGGTTAAACAAGATGTTACAACTAATGAGCAAATAGGGAATGTTAGGTAAATATGAATTCTTTTTTTAAAATTACATTTTTGTGTTCATTTACTTATTTCAGAGGAGGGGCACTAAAGCTTGAGGACAAATGGGAGTTGGTTCTCTGGGTCCTGGGAACCAGATTCAGGTCTTTGGGCTTGGTGGCAAGTGTCTTTACCAGTTGAGCCATCTCATGGTCTGTTTCTCCTTTCTTTAGTCTGCCATCCATGTCAGCAGTGACTTGAACACTGCTGAGATGACTAACTAGGGGCCCTGGTAAAAGGCCCAGTACAGGCTAAAGCAATCCCCACTCCTCCCCAAGCTTCGTGGTAAGCCTCCAGGAAAGAAAGTTAAAACCAGGGATCCCCTCCCCCTGTGAATGAATACCCAGACCCTTGGGTCCTAGCTGCATTAGCGCAGAATCTAGGTGGTTCTTAGGTTGAGAACCTATGTACACACCAGGGAACAAAGATGAATGGAAATTATTGTTGACTACATTTTAGGGTCCAATTACCAAGGGAAGAAAAATTTATTTTAAAAAAAAATTGTTGGGGCTGGAGTAATGGTTCAGTGTGGTGAAGAGAACTCGCAGCTTTTCCAGAGGCCCCAATTTCACTTCCCAGAACCCACACAAGGCCGCTCAATCCGTCTATCAGTCCACCTCCACGCATCTGATGCTGTTCTAGCCTCTACACGCACAAACCCACACTCAGACACAAAACACACAGGACTTAGAGGAAGAAAGAAGGAAAGAAAGAAAAGAAAACGGGCTTGCTAAGTGTGGTGGTGCACACCTGTAATCGCAGCACTTGGAAAATGGAGGCTGGAGAATCACAGGTTTGATGTCATCTGGCTTTGTAGTGAATTTAAAGAAGTCTGGGCAACGTGAGACACCGTTTCAAAAGAAAACCAAGCCAACGAAAAGTTATAAAAGAAAAACAAGGAACTTGTTTCTTTTTAAGACTTAGGTTGGTTTCCCCACCCCCACCACGCTTCTGTTCTGTACCTCCAACTCCCTGCTTCAAGTTTGTCCCTCGAGAATGGGAAAGTGCCGGCTCTCGCCTTCGATCAAAATCCTGTACAGCTTTCGCCCGAGGAGCCCCAGAAGGTGTTGGGGAGATTGGGAGCCGGGCGCCCTGGGACCCGCAGAGTTAAAGCAAGTTCCCTGGGCCGTGGAGAACCCCGGGGAACGTGACTTACTTACTTGCTCGAGGGGGTTCCCGGCTCTGGACAAAGTTGTTTTGCGGGAGACCACGCCTCCACCCCCTTCGGAGAAGTGAGTCACTCGGAAGGGCCAAGTGTCAGGGGCTGACTGAGGGCGTTTCCTTCCGTTTGCTGTTCCAGAGACCTACAATTGAGGGCCTTGTAGAGGGATCCTAGGGCCAGTAAAGCTAAGATTCCTTATACTACCGGTAAAACGGGCTGAGGAGGTCGTCTTCCACCTCCCATACAACCCATAGATCCTTGGTCTCCATCAGGGTACCAACCTCTCCTGTTCCTTGGAGCACCCACTTAGTACTTGGTGCCGCCTTTTATCTTTCTTTTGTTTTGTTTTTGAGACAGGTTTTTATCTGTGTAAAGTCCTGGAGCTTGCTCTATAGACCAGGCTGGCCTCGAACTCACAGAAATCCTCCTGCTTCTGCCTCTCGAGTGCTCGGATTAAAAGCGAGCTAGTACTTTGTGCCTTCAATGTGATCTTTGGCTAGGTATGCAGGTCAGTGGAGTGTTTCCGAGCATGCACCCCCCGCCCCCGCATGGGGGCACAGGAGTACATGCTCGTATGTAACCCCAGCACTTGGAGGAACACACACACAAGTAAATAAATAAATGTTATTTTTTAACAAACGTGATCTTCCATCCTCACATCCTTCATTATTCCTACTTAGATGAATTCTCAGGGACGACCAGAAGAGAGCCAGGAATGTAATCCAGGCTGGCCTGACCTGCATCAATGAACCCTTCTACACTTCTCTAATTCAAAACCAAACAGACCAGCCAGTGTCTGCACCGCTGTATGTGCTGGGTCTGGACCTTAGCACATAGACCCACTCACGACTCACTCCACAAAGCCGCTTTGTTTGTTGAGAAGCAACTTTGGAAAGGCCAAGCAGAATTCAATTCTCTGAGGTCCACTGACTACTTTTGAAAGAATTTACACCCTGACTTTGTTCCTGGGCAGCCGGGCAGCCCACTCACATCCTGCTGGTAGGTGCCAGCCTTTTTTTTTTTTTTTTTTTTTTTTTTTTTTTTTTTTTTTTTTTTTGAGACAAGGTTTCTCTGTATCTGCCTAGAGTGTTCTATGTAGGACAGCAGGGAACTCACAGAGCTCTGCCTGCCTCTGCTCCCTGAGTGCTGGAGTTACAGGCATGTACCACTACACCCAACTTAGTTTTCACAGATCCAACACATATGTAACCCACAGCCCTACCAAGATACCAAACACATCCACCACCACAGAAAATTCTGTCACAGGAGTGGGTTTTTTGTGTGTCTCCCCCACCAACCACACTGTTTGTACATGTGGCTCAGGGACAATGACAAATCTTCCTTATAACTCCAGCACCCAGCACGTAGGAGGTAATAACAATGACAAAAAAATCCCTTTTTTTTGTTTTGTTTTTTTTTTGTTTTTTGTTTTTTTTCGAGACAGGGTTTCTCTGTGCAGCCCTGACTGTCCTGGAACTCACTCTGTAGACCAGGCTAGCCTCAAACTCAGAAATCCGCCTGCCTCTGCTGGGATTAAAGGCATGTGCCACCACTGCCTAGCTCCCACCTGTAATCTTAACTACAAATGGCTCTGTTCTAACTACAAATACCTGTTCCAGGAATGACAATCATGTCTTTGTTACAGAAAGTTAGTAACCATCTCTCAACCCTTCCTTTGTTTCAGAAGGACTATTCTGGCTGTCTGCTGGTTACTGACCACCTTGTAATCATGTCTTTGTTTCAGGTGGTCAGTACAGCTAAGACATTATGCTTATGTTCTATTCCTGTAACCTTGTCTATTTTGCCAGCTCCCTCATTTGGAAACTCCCTACCCCTGAGCTATAAAAACTTGTCTTCCTCACATCCAGTGCTAAGTGAACCCAGCCTTAGCGGAGGCAGCCTGTGTACACCAATTTAAAAAGCTTGCTTTAATATATTACTTGCATTAATTTTGCCATGATGCTTTGGGTTGGTGGTTGAATATTTTGGGATTAACTGTCTGTCTGTCTGTCCGTCCGTCTGTCCGTCCGTATGTCTGTCTGTCTGGTGTAAGCATTTGAAGGCCAGAGATCTGTCTCCTCTCCGACTTTCTACCTTCTCAGGCAGGATGTCCTATTAAAATGAGCTCATTACTTCAGCTAGACTCTTGTTTCCTCCCCAGAGCCGTTTGTACTTAGAACAGAGCTGTCTGTAGTTAAGATTACAGGCAGGAGCTGGGTGGTGGTGGTGCACGCCTTTAATCCCAGCACTTGGGAGGCAGAGGCAGGCGGATTTCTGAGTTCGAGGCCAGCCTGGTCTACAGAATGAGTTCCAGGACAGCCAGGGCTGCACAGAGAAACCCTATCTCGAAAAAAACAAGAAAAAAAAGATTACAGGTGGGATATAGTCCAATCCTTGAGAAAAAGGTTAATTATGAACAGGTATGAACCTAGTTTGTGTTTACTATAAGACAGCTTTTAAGTTTAACATGGAGGTAGGATAGTTCTTCAATAGCAAGGTGTCTCGTCAATTTCTTAGTGATTTAAGCCTTCCTTGGAGAAGTACTTAACAAATTCGTGATATTAATATTTATCAAAAGATCCTGTAAAATAATGGACGTGTGTACAATCCATCCTGGGCAAGACTGTTGTTATTTCAGGGTATCATTAAGCACAGAACAGAAAAGACCCCAACGCCTTGACCTAATTCACTTTTGCCAGGCAGAGGCTCTAGGATAAGGCCTTACTGGAGAAAGGCTGTACGATGCCGGAGAATGTCCTTCTGAGAACTTCTTTCACCCTGAGTCTGGTCCTTCAGTTTGTGACCCATTGGTCACAAACAGGGAAGGCCAGGACTGGACCCTACCAGCGCCCAGGGAGAAAGTCTGCAAACTACAAGTCCCAGCAGGCAGTGGGCTGCAGGACGTGACCTATGCTGTCATAGTCGAAGCCCAGGTTCAGAGGGCCCTCCAGAGCAAAGTCAGACACACTAATATACGCACACACCCACGCACCACATGCGCCAATCCTGCTTCCACCAACTACAAATCCCAGCAGGCAACAGGACGCTAGGTGGGGCCTAGAGTCCGATCTTTTTCTCCGGAAGTGGAATCAGGCAGGTGGGGTGCGTTCGTTGTGGGGAGGGGCTCCTGGCAGCCGAGTGCTGGTGCAGGGGCGGTGGGTGCTGACGAGAGCCCACAGTAAACACATTGCGCCTCCTTGATTCTGACTCCATTACCTGGTCTAACTCCTTGTACAGCGGAGAGGACCAGCCCAGACCTTGAAGTGGGGATGAGCTTGTTAGGGCCCCTGTATGGCTTGCAAGTCTCTGGAGAAGCCCAGAAAAGATCTGGGGGCCTCCTTGTCCCCCGATTGTAGGTCCCAGAGATTTGAAGTCCTGACCCTAGATAAGAGGCTACTAGTGGGGCAATAACTAAAGCACTGTGATCTAAGCACCCACTCTTTCAAAGGCCTCTGTCCACAGCACAAATGTCACAACTCTTGTCCTAACTTCCCAGGTTGCCCAAGAGCCCCTGAGGTGCTGAAGAAGGGACTTACCCAAACCCTTCAGCGCAAACCGAGCTAGGTGGGATGAGCTGAGCTGAGGCCCCCACTTCCTCCACCTCTGCCTGGGGCAGCTCCCTCCTGAAGTCTCTTCTCAGGTGATTTCAGGCTCCCAAGTGGGGACTCAGGTTACACCTGTATTGGGAACAATGACACCGCAGTGGCCAGGAATACATGGACTTTCTGCCTCCGACCCCATTTTTAGTTTTTTACACTTTCTGTGCTGCCACATGCCTGACGGTCAATGTAGATCCAGAAGTACATGGGCTCTGAAGGTATAGCCATGACCCTGTTAAGATTTTACTCTTCTGCAGCTTGGTTGACATCAGATACTTCCTGGAACATGAGTCTTGAACCGATTAGAAACAACTCCAGAGCGAATATAACTGAGAGCCAGGCCATGAGGGAAGAGTGGGGAGGGGAAAGCCAGGAGACCAAGATGCCAAAAAGGGCGAGAAAGAACTGATGTAGCCAAAACAGCTGGATTACATAGGAAAGAGCATCTGGAGGAAGAACAACCCAGCCCAGTGTCTGGGCTGGAGAAGTTTAGGGTGAGGAGTAGAGTAAGCCAATCAGGAGGACAGTAACAGGTAGGGACTGAGGGGTGCTGGGAGATCCCAGAGGCTAGTTTGGGTTAATATGTTAAATAGGCATCTCATCTGGACTTTCATCCTGGGCTTGAGACCTATCAGGTGGGTTTAGATCAGTGGCCGACTACTCATGTGAAACCCCAGGTCAACCCCCAGTACCACCTAGGGCGGAGGAGGGTGGAAGGATGAATGAAGCCGGTATTGTAGTTCTAAATTCTTGATGAATTGTGAAGAAACACAAATGAAGGAGCCTTCTAAAAGTGCTCCCAAATTAAATCAAAAGCATTACCAAAATAACACTCCTGACATAAAGAATTCCTTTAGTGGGCTGGAGACGACTCGGTTTGGTTTTTTTTTTGTTTTTTTTTTTTTTTTGAGACAGGGTTTCTCTGTGTAGCCCTGGCTGTTCTGGAACTTACTCTGTAGACCAGGCTAGCCTCTGCCTCCCAAGTGCTGGGATTAAAGGCGTGCGCCACCACTGCCCGGCTTCTTTTTTTTTTTTTTAAAAAAAGCATTCCTTTAGGTTTTGTATATTTCTTCTCCTCCTCCTCCTCTTCCTCCTCCTTTTTGCTTTTTCTTTTTTTTTTTTTAATTTTTATTTCTTTATTATATGTAAGTACACTGTAGCTGTCTTCAGACACACCAGAAGAAGGCATCAGATCTCATTACAGATGGTTGTGAGCCACCATGTGGTTGCTGGGATTTGAACTCAGGACCTCTGGAAGAGCAGTCAGTGCTCTTAACCACTGAGCCATCTCTCCAGCCCTTGCTTTTTCAAGATAGAGATTCTCTATGTAACAGTCCAAGCTGGACTGGAATTCACTTTAGACCAGGCTAGCCTCAAACTCACAGAGATCCATCTGCCTCTGCCTCCAGAGTGCTGGGATTAAAGGTGTGCGCCACCACTCCCAGCTCTTCATTTTGTTTTTAACCGCTGAAATGTTTCATATGTAGGTCACTTTGTTGTTTGTTTCTTTGATCAGGGTCTCACTCTGCAGCCCAGGCTAGCCTGAACTTTATGTAATTCAGGCTGACCTTGTAGCCATCTGCTTTCTCTCCTCACCCTTGCCTATGCCACGCTTGCTGGCTCATGCTTCCAGGTCTCCCTTGTCTCTGCTTCCCGTCCCCATTGTAGAAATGGTAGACTCACACCCGCTGCCACATCTAGCCTTTTTTTTTTTTTTTTTTTTTTGAGACAGTTTATCTTTATAACCCTGCTGTCCTGGAACTATGTAGACCAGGCTGGCCTAGACTCACAGAGATCTGCCTGCCTCTGCCTCCCAAGTGTTGGGCATTAAAGGCAAATACAAGGCATGTGCCATCATGTCTGGCTACATCCAGCTTTATATGAATTCTGGGGAGTCAAACTCAGGTCTTCATACTTGTACATAGATGCTTTACCCACTGAGCCACCTTCCTAGCATATTTGTGCGTGAGTTACATTTATGTAGTTGTGTGAGTGTGTGTGCACAGGCACAGGTTCACACACACATACTATGGCTCCTGTCTATGTAGAGGTCAGAGGACACCTATCAGAATTAATCTCCTCAGCTAGATGGATGTAGGGAATTGAACTCGGGAACCACAAACCAGGCATGATGGTACATGCCTGTAATCCCAGAACTTGGGGTTCAGAGGAAGAAAGATCCAGAGATTCAAGGTCACCTTTGATAATGTAGTGAATTTGAAGGCAGCTTGACATGAAATGCTGTTTAAAAATAAACATCTTCCCTCCATGTTATGTATTTTCTTCATTTTATAATTATTCATGAGAAAAGAACAAATTTCATTATGTTATGAATTCTGTCAAGTGTGGTGGTACATGCCTGCAATCTCAGCACTCAGGAGGTTGAGGCAAGAGCATCTTGAATTCAAGGCCTCTTTGGGCTACAAGACCCTGTCTCGCGTGCGCGCGCGGAGCTGCAGCAGCTGCAGCTTAGGATAATACAGATAATATTCAGTTAAAAGAATTTGAAATTAGACCCTTGAACTCATCTCTGTCTCCCATGTACTGGGATTACCATGCTTAGCTAGAAAGACATTTTCTTTAGGTTTGGAAGCAGACATTTATCATTTACAAGAATACAAGAAGGCATTCCTCGCAGGGTGGTGGTGGCGCACACCTTTAATCCCAGCACTTGGGAGGCAGAGGCAGGGGGATTTCTGAGTTCGAGGCCAGCCTGGTCTACAGAGTGAGTTCCAGGACAGCCAGGGCTCCACAGAGAAACCCTGTCTCGAAAAACCAAAAAAAAAAAAACCGCATTCCTCTGTGAGCTTGTTTCAGAATCAAGAACCGCGTCTGGATTCCCGGAAGCTACGACTTTGGGCTGGGTCGCCACCTAGCGGAATCCTGTGGAAGCAGGTCTGGGCGCTCCTTTTTGCTAAGATCATATGTGTGTTTTGTCTGCATGTCTATGTGCATGCACCATTTATGTACTTGGTGCCCAGGGAAGTCAGAAGGTGTTGGATCTAGAAATGGAGTTATGGACGGTTGTGAAACCATATAAGAATTGCAAGAACAAGTATTCTTAACCAATGAGTCATCCTCTCCACCTCTCCCTCCCGCCCGCCCCCCCTCCAAGAATTCTTATTGGAATGCAAGCTTCTGCATTTTGATAGGGCTAAGCACGTGTGTGGTTTGCCAGGTGCCAAAGGTCATTTGACAATGACTGTGTTTGCTTTCTGAAGATCCAATCTTTAGGTGTAGTTGGGCTTCAGGTACTTTATGGGTTCTTTTTCCCACCCTTTGTCCACCCCACCCCCCCACGAAGTTTCACTTCCTATCACTAGATAGGAGAGAGATCCTTGACTCTAATTACTTTCCTTTTGTTTCTTCTTTGAGCACAACTATTAACAAACTGCAACCAACCTCCCTGAACGACCAACAACCACCCACCCCACTGAGTCGGGCTCTAGCATTTATATACCCTCTGAAAAGTTCCAAAGGTCACACAATTGCAGAAACTATTTGCAGCTGGCAAAACCACGCCTCTGCTAGAGCAGGAGGCAAATCATAGTCAGCTGTGAAGCAGCCTTATAGTTCACACCTGGGATTAAAACAAAAATATATGCTTAGAATATTTGTGTTTTTTTTTTTAAGAGACAAAAATTCCAGAATTCTCAGTAAAATTGGGTTTAGTTAAAACCACGGGGCCAGTGTTATTAGGTGATTACCGGGAACAGGACGGGAGAGAGATTTCCCCGTTAAGGGACTTTCCTTTATTTGCATTCTTGATAAGGAAGGCCTGCAGGTTCAGATGACCTACTTCCTCTGTCAGCCTCGCCTTCCTAGGAATTGAGCGACAGGATGTTATTCTTCTCGTTACCACAAGGGGTCACCCTCTCCCATGGAAAGCCTCTCAAATGGGCATGGAAACAAGCATGTTTGTTCTGTGTTCTTTTGGGAAAATGTAGGCAGGGTGATTTCAGGACCTTCCATCCCCTGTAGAGGAAGGATGTGGTTTGGAGAAGCATCCTTGACCCACTGTATCTGAGGTCTCGTAAGGGGAAGGGGAGAAAGTCAGGTCAGTATGGTTTTGGAATTTCTCTCCCACTACCTTGTGACCTAGAAGAGAGAACAAGGAAGCTGTGAAGAGATGTTCAGGGGACAAGTTCTGAACTGCAGACAGACTCCTAAGCAGGATCATTTGATACCTGTGGGACGATGGGAGAATGTGGACGGGGGAGGGCTGTGGGGTGCCTGGCAAGTGGGGTGGGGGAGAATAATACCCCCCTCCCAGGAGGGGAGAGGATCCTGGGGAGTGAGAAAGATAAAAGTAATCTGAAGAAGACAAGTGTTCAGTTCTCTGTGTTTACCAAGGGGAC